CATTGAGAAGGTGATTAGCTACAACTGATTGAGTTTACAAGTCATTTTTAGGAGGGGAGTGATCCTTTTTCCAACTCAGTGATTTTTTTTTATTTTATTGACGTTGGTGTAATTTTAGTCATTTTAGTACAAGTTAAACTTAATGAAAATTAAAAATGTTTTCTTGGCAACTAACTGAACTAAAATAAGCTTAAGTGTTTTAAACATTTCATTGTATTTCAGTTAATGTTTATTTTATTTCAAGAAACAAAATGATTTTTATGGTTTTAGTTTACTATAATAACCCTGGTACTAGAGGCCATTTTTCTTAAATGGCAGCAGCAATCCAGCTAAATGAACTTCACAAGTTTGTGTAAAACAGAACATTTTCTGCTTCAATGAAAGCAAGAACATCTGACTGTCTGTACATAGGAGTTTACATGATCAGCGTCACACATTTGCTTACATTTGATTAGTGTTACTGAAATATAAGCTTAGCTAAGTTTCCTAGATACAAAATAGCTGCTCGAGGGTTGAAAAGAGTTCAAGTGACGGTTCTATTGACAGGGTAACACTGGGAGATGTGTGACGGGGCAAAAGAGCAGAAATAAGAGCGTGGGCCAGTACAGATAGTTACCTGCTGACTGACTGAACTATGCTGAGATTTCAGCCTGGACACTTCCTCCTCCAGCCTCTGGATCTGCTCAGCCTGTGAACACGCATGCACAAAGATCATGAAATTCACATCACAAATGTTTACCATCAAACACAGAAATGTTTTGAGAAGGAGACAATAACCAGAGCAAAGATGGTAGCTCAGAACAAACAGAGCAGTGAGAAAATGGCTGCACTGTTCTGTCATAATGAGAAGCGGAGGTGTGTGTGTGTCTGTGTGTGTGTCAGGTTCCCCTGCTCTGCTCTCATCACATCTGCTGTCAGTAATCTGTTCCTGAGCAAACAGTGCTGGGATTAAGTGCAGATAAAGGATGTATGCGTCATTAAAACACACAAGACAGACACGTACACACTCACAGAACCACTGGTGAGTAATAATGTGGCCACAGTTTCAATCACGAAAGCAGCTTCATTTCTGTGAAAATCATGGCCGTTCAGAGTGTGGAAGTGTGTGATCTGTGGGCAGACGGGCTTGTGCCGGGGGCTTATTTTAACCTCAGTTATGAAGGTCTTTCAAAAGGCACAATTGTCCAAATGTGCAGTGGAGAAATAATTTCTTTAAAAGCAATAGTTCAGACAAATATGATTATTTACTCACCCTCATGTTGTTGCAAACTCTGTGACTTACGTTCTTTGTAAAAAGGACAAAAAGCACAATGAAGTAGTCCATATGATTTATATGCTATAAATGAAGTCATATGATAAATTTGTGCGACGAATAGATTAAAATTTGCTATTCACTTAAAAACATTCACTTTGTTGAGACAATATATTTAAATATGTGGAAGTATGAGACTGGAGTACAATAATGGACAAAGAATTTCGGTCTGTTCCTCATCATAAAGTTTCAGAAGATTTGGAATATAGAGTATCAGAAATATGGACGACTTCTATGATAACTTTTAGACATTTTTCGTGCTTGACAATCCAAGGTAACAGTATGATTTCATAGTATAGAAAATATTGTTCAAATAATCCTCATGTTCCACAGAAGAAAGTAAGTCATTTTTGTTTGGAACAACATGAGTGTGAGAACTAATGAACGCCTTTTCATTTTGGGGTGAGCTATGCCTTTAAGGAAACAATATGATGTCCATGTGTATAAATTATAGGTCTGATTCTAGGTGAGGCTTTGCAAGCAATGCTGAAAAAAACTATGTTTAGAAGCTTCGCAAATAGAGGACATTTGATTAAAGCTCCAGGTAATCATAAAACACAGAGAATAAGAACGTAGCACCCATGAGCTCTCATTGATATTCTGACAGGGAGATCAAAAACTTTGCTGATATTTCTACTTTATTCTTTAACAAGTTCCTCTATCCTAAACATCTGTCAGTATAATGCATGTTCATGGTGAAAACTATCCCAAAAATCTTAACTCTGTAAAATTGCTTAAGACAGCTCAGTACAATTGTAAGGGTCAACTGGATAAACAGAATAGCATTAACCATGGTAATGACTCCCAGACCATGTGACAAATACAGAGAGGTCAGAGACTATGAACAAGCAGCAGATGGTATATCAATGACAGAGGCCCTGTCCCAAATCGCACCCTAAACCCTCACGGTCTTCCTCACTTTCGTGACATAATGCTGCTTTGACTGCCGGGCAGAGTTCTGCTGTGGAGCTCACCACAGTGGGGGCTCTGCAGGTGTGTGAATCGAGGGTGTGAATAGTGGCTGCAAAGGGGGCGCTCGCAAGCATGCTTCTGAAAGCTAAAATGACGAATGGGACATCCTATGGTCTCGTCCACAAGTGCACATGAAGTGTGTCATTTGAGACAGGGCCAGAGACTACAATGACATACAAACTAGTACTAGAGAATGACAATGATTTCTTCGACATGTCTGATGGTAATAAATGGTATTCACTGAAGTACCTTGGAATACCATATAGATACTGTGGTGAATTAATATTCATCAATAGTATTATGGTATTACCAGCCGATAGCATCACTGCACCATGGTATCAATGTTATTTTAGTATCACTGATATATTATTATAATTTTTGTTAGTATTGTGAGTTGTTTATATTTTCTGTTTTCACTTTAATTTTGGTTAAAGTTTTAGTAATGTTGCAGTGTGCTTTTGCCATTTTCATTATAATTTTTTTTAAATGTCTACATAATTTTTATTCATTTTATTTTATTCTTTATTTTATTCAGTTTATTTAGTTTTAGTTATTTTAGTAGTTCCAGTTAAACTAAACAAAAATGAGAAATAAAAAAAAATAACAAAATTAATTAGTTTAAACCTGTTAAGGGCGTGTTTAGGCGTGTCTGTGCTTTTAATTACCTTTGTTTTAAAACAATATTCAATCAACTATCATAAACTATATATCATTTGACAGCTAAAACACTCAAGATCCATGTTCTGAGCTTGTTTTTTAAATCAATACACCAGAGAGGAAAGGGTTAACATAAATGCTGAAGGACCGGCCATTTAAACACGTACAAAGTGAACGGCAGTACTTACGTTTCATTGCCTATAGTTCTGGTCAGCTCGGACTATTCCAAGAAACACCAGCACAACATTTCAAGATAAGGGTCCACTCTTCAAAATGCATCCCACTTTTTAATCCAAAACAACGAAAAAATAGGGGAAAAAAACGAAAGATCCTCCTTTGTTTACATGAGCGATTCGAATTATAGTTGTAGATAGCGTCCATTTTAAGTTTTGATGGATGGAAGTGTTAGCCAACCACAAGGACGTTTACAGTGATTGACAGTTTGCGTAGATTACGTAAGAAGGCTTGAAGAATACCAGTGCGCAAAGTTAGTGTGTATTCTTGAGCTGAGTGCGCTCTCGTCCTGCAATAGAAGCTTCTTTCCAAGGGCGCACACAGACACACTCATTCAATCTGACCCTTGCTGGAGGTGACCTTGCAATCAGCCTCGTGGAGCACTTATTTCCCAGCTATAATCAGACTCGCTCACTAAGGCCTGACCTTTTCTCAGCAGCCCCTCAGCCATGGCTATGTATAAGTCCAATATAAAACCCAGCCCCCTAGAGAGAGACATCTGCTAGAGCTCAGATCCACGGCCATACAGATTAATGAGGGAAAGAGAGTGCGAACGTATACACACAACACGGCTGCACAAACAAGCTAAAAAGATACGAGATATGTTGCACCCAATATCAAAGTATTTCATGTGGCACAGGGTAATACTTCTAATTTTATGTTATGCTCATGGTAACAAACTAAATTAAACAAACAACTTGGTACCAAGTTCCTTTAAGCAAGGTGGCATTCAAGTTCACTTGGTGACCATCTTAGTAACAGTGCAGCACCAAATTTCATGAATTATTACAGACCAGAGTCTCCAAAATTGTTGGCTAAACTTACATGTCAACACCGTTTTTCAAGCATCCAATAAAATATGACAATATGAATCAATTTACAGATCAAATTTGCCATCAACAGTGGTACCTCAGTGGCCTGGTGTCGTTTGATTTCCAGTAGAGCTTCATTCTCCACCTGCAGCTTCACCAGATTCCTTTTCACCTCCAAGAGCTACAAGAGAGCAGACACACTTTACATAGCTCTCCTTTAGTATACAAAGTATTTTATCACAGCTAAAGCAATAAATAGTTTTGACAGATCATGTGCACGCATATGAGTTATTCCACATAGAGTGGGTCTCCAGATTGAGTCACATGATTAGAGTACTACATACTCATGTAGTACTCATACTATGGCTTCATTTACACCTGGTATTAACATGCTGTTCAGGTGATCTCATTTTGAAATGGGACAATGCTAAATAAAATAATTTATTATTAATAATAATAATGTTTTGAGATTTGTTTACTTCAACAACATTCTGAAGTGGACAAAAATGCACATGACCATACTGCAATTCATGTATTTAATAACGTAATTCGTGTATTTAATAACTGAATACGAGACAAGAAAAATTAATGAAACTATTTTTGCTATATTAGGCATGTGATTAAGAAAGAATGTGTGCATAATTTAAAATGCAATTTTTTGTAAATAATTCAAACGGATTACAATAAATTCTGGTTATTTTACTGGTCTTCTGTCATTTTCTTTATTCCCTGAAATTCCTTTAAATCCTTTTTAGATCCATTCAATAAAATGATCCCTTCAAAAAATGTGGTTTGATTCCCCCCAATATTCAAGGCATGGTCACGGCCTTATTGTAAACACTAACGCATTACCAGATGAATCTAACTCATGTCATTACCAGATGATAAAACTTAATCTCGATCTCAACCACAAAAAACAAACCTTACTTGAAATAAAGTAAACATTACCGATAGTTGCCATGGAAAAATTTCTCATTTTCATTTAGTTTAACTTGATGTACTAAAATGACTGAAATAAATATTATTATAAAATAGTATTAGTATAAAATAGACATTTAAAAAATGATAATAAAAATGACAAAATGCACACCAGAATTACTAAAACTTAAACTAAAATTAAAATACAAATGGAAAATAACATAACATAAAATAATATAACATAAAAACTAATTCAAAATAATAATTTTAAATACTCTCAATATTACTGAAATAAAATTAATAAGAACTATATCGATATTAAAACAGCAAATTTGCTAAAATTTCAACTATAATTAGAATAAAAATTATGCTAAAAATGAAATAAAAATCACTTGTGATCGGATCAATCGATATGGAATTTACAACCCAGATAGTTCCCCTGTAATTGAACCTATCATCTGCAGAATAAATGAATCAGCTATGTCTGTTAATATATTTATTTAAAACAGCATTGGTAACCAAAAACTCACATCCACACCAATAGGTGTCAGTATAAAGTGCAACAGCACTATTGTGTCAATCAGCAAATCATGACTAAAAAATACATAGTGCACATTTAACAATTAAATATGGCTGCATCCGAGAACCTAGGGAGTTGACTTGCTGCCTCGCTGCCTTATCAGGCAACGACTTTGCAGGCAGTGTTTGCACACCTCACGAAACTGATTTTTTACATGCTTCTGAGGCAGCGTAATGTTTTAATGATCTACAATAAAATAGAATGAGCTTTGGTGATATATAAGTGAATATTTAATGGCAGCGGCTATTTGCACTAAGTGTAAATAGCGATAGAGACAATAGATGCTATTTACACAAAGTGAAAATAGCATATTTTCTTAGCGATAGATGCTATTTAAGTGCAAAAAAAAAACTAAGTGCAAATAGCAGCATTTTTTTGTGATATGCTATTTACACTAAGTGCAAAGGTGATATATAAGTGAATATTTAATGGCAGCGGCTATTTGCACTAAGTGTAAATAGCGATAGAGACAATAGATGCTATTTACACAAAGTGAAAATAGCATATTTTCTTAGCGATAGATGCTATTTAAGTGCAAAAAAAAAACAGTGCAAATAGCAGCATTTTTTTGTGATATGCTATTTACACTAAGTGCAAATAGCTACAGATTACCATCTGCACCACTGAAGCTGACGACTGTTGACTGTCTTTTGTAATGTTGACTAGCCGAATCACACATTGGTGGGCGGAGTTAGTGTAAATAGCCTCTGCCAACAAGTCGGGCTATTTGCACTTAGTGTAAATAGACACGCCGATATTTAAATACTACGTATTTCTCACTAGAAATAACATCAAAAGTGCAAAAAGTTTGTCAGAAACATACAAACTGACCACCAAATGCAACGTTGGAATGCCATCTTTATATTTTTAGCTCAACCATCACGGAATGGAATGCACAGGATTGTGGGATATCAAAGGCAGCGAAGGATACATCTATTCCGCCTTCAAAAATCGACCAGATGAAGGTATCTCAGGAGACAGGAAGTAATGCTAACATTGGATTCGAATGTGCCTTGATGCCTTCCTTGAAATGTGTCCTCTGAAGTCAGCATTTTCCAGTTTTCGGACACAGCCTATATCTTCTAAATAGAAACAATGACAAATATTTTTGCGCTACCTCTATACTCGCTCGTGTCTTGAGAACTGAAAATGATACTGCACATAAAATGCAGGCTTACAAAGTAATGAATCTGATTTAAAAGATTATAAAGCAGTGAACACTGAGATGATAAAGGTGCCCTTCATGATAACAAACAAACTGCGGCTGGAGCGTAAAAAGGCCGTGAACTTAACTGTGGGAGTGTTAGTAAACAAAGGCACTGTGAAATTGTTCTCTGAGCAATCAGTGTCGAGCTCCCACAACAAGTCTGCCATGACGCCTAGCGACAGGTGACACAGCCACTGCTGACGGACAGCACTAGCCTGAGCTCTGATTGGTCAGCAATCCCATCCAGGAGGGGGAGGGCTCAGAGTATCACTGCAGCAAACACTAGCTTGCAGCTACATGCCTAATACAACAAACTGTTTGTTTAGTTAGATGCATTGAAATTATGTATGTGTTACACTTTACAGCCCAAAAGAAAGAAAGAAAGAAAGAAAGAAGAAAGAAAGAAAGAAAGAAAATATTCAATATCCAAATGAGAATAAATGGAGACATGGAGACTTTAGCCTAATCTTCTCAGATTTTTGTCATTCTTAGGTGTCCTTTTCAAGAGTTTCAGAGGAGATCTCCAAAATGTCTCACACTGTGCACAGATTTGCAAAGATACCAAAGTTTGCCAAAATCAGAGTCTTCAATGTAAACTCAAATATTTCTCATCAATTTCTTATAAGATCAAATGGTTATATATATGTCCTGTTTTTAATTTTCCTGAGGAATTTGAGAAACAGGGTTGATACATAACAGAAGCATAACTTCAGAAACATAACATAAAGTCTCCTGAGCTTTGTTTGAAAGAGCTACTTTAGTAGGGTTTTGTCACATGTTTTAAGTATCTATTTGCATTTTTCCTTCCAGAGTAAATGTCTTCTTTGGGATCATGTTCCCTGGCATCTGGCAGGGAAAATTCTGGGACCCTCCTCACCTCGACACGGGAGGGGGGAAACACCTGTCTCAAAGTAAACTCTAACTTCAGTCGAGCTGAAAGAGTACAGACAGGCCAGACAGGCCAGACAGGCGATCAGGACAACTAGATGAGCCCCAGGGACAGATCCCCAGTAAAGAACTTGTCTCCTAGTCGGCCACCGGGACAAGACCACAGGAACCAGCAGATTGAGAAAGCGAGAAAGAGGGAGAGAGTGTGTGTGGGCCCAAGCGGCCTGGGCCTGTACGTGAAGATTTTACCTGAGCCTGTAGCTCCTGATCTTGCTTCCTGGCATCTTGCAGCTGCCTGAGAAGCTGCTGGTTGCGATCGTGTCCCCTCTGGAGCTCCTGCTGGCTTTCTTGCAGCTCTCTCTGCAGATCCCACAGTCTCTGCTCTTGGTCGTCCAGCTATCCAACCACAATAGAGGGCAGGGCACAGAGGAAGAGAAAATCAATCCACTACAAAGAGCCTCTTTCTCCGCTCGCCTGCTCGTTTCGCAGAACCCGCCATGACTAGAGCTCCAGCAAAGAAGAACCGGCGTTCAGCTGGCCTTCATCGCAGCCCCATCATCCACCCTGAGCGGTTCTAGGACCCTTCACATATACCCTGACACTCTAGACAGGCTGGGCCAGCCCTGCACTGAATGCAGAAACAAAAATCAATGCTTCTTAACCAAATGCGAAATCACAGCTCATTGTTCGACAGGAAGAGCAGGAGAACAGGCAATACTTCTGCAGACGAATCTTTACTGATGGATTTTCGGTGACATACACAAGCAGTTTGCGCTACTATTGCACCATGTCAATCCTCTTTTTGAAACGAAAAAGTATTCATTAAAGCAAGGCCCAACACGACACATCAAAAATAAATAATTAATATTGTAATTAGCACAATATGGTCACCTGCTAAAGAGAACGGAGAGGAGGGGAAGATGGGAGTCGAGAAAAGGACAGAGGAGGAGGAGGTTTGGCAGACCCCTGGTTCCGGTCCAGTCCGACATTATCAAGCATCCTCTTCTGCATTTCAAATCATCGCACGATGACAGCCGCATATCCAAAATGGAGGCCCGGGGACTCCCCGCCGACGATCAATTAATTAACCTCACTCATTAGAGGCCCGAGAGTAATCCACAGAGTCGCCTAAGTCACCTAAATCAAACAGTCGCCCCTCGCCTTACCCATTGATTGTGGTCTGGTGACAAGTACTTCAAGCCTTGCCTTGTCTTCCCATCCGTCTGTTGGCATAGCGAACACTCGAATTCCTGCCAGATTGTGGACTAAAACGATGAGGGAAGAATGAGAATCGTTTCCCTTTAATCCTAAAAATCCAGCTCATCCTTTTGCTCTGCTTTTCGGTGTGTGATGCAAGCTGATAACCCTGCTCTTTCTTTGCCTTACAATTGCGCTCTCTCTCCATTCTCCCCTCCTAAACTGATCAATACTTCATTTAAATCATGACATTAGCACACTACAACTGGAAAAAAAGCTGAAAGGAATAACAAAACGCTTCTTATGGCAAACGGAGGGTTGGAAAATGGATCACACATCCGATTAGTGACCATAATTGTTTGTTTATAAGTAAAAACTGAGGTTAAAATGCATGTGGTGCTCAGGAACAACATCATTGTTTTGATTTGAGCTCCCGAGACTGACTGATCAATATCGCATTTGAATCCAGAAAGAGGAGCAGTGTCGCTATAGCACTCGACTCATTAAATGAAATGCAAATAGCGCTGCCATAATCAACACGTATTTCGGACTTTATTGTCCCGCTGAAACAAACCCAAATGATATTTCCATACACAAAGAACATGTAGCCATACGCATTGGCGGTTGCGTGATATGCGCCCTCATGCATTTGTTTATTCATGCAGGATGCCATGAGAATAATCAGAGCGCTATGCAAACACACTTAAGACTTGAAGGGATGGTAATCATCGACGCAGGGGGGTGTGGGAGGAGAGAAGAAGAAGAAAGAAAAAAAAAGGGTAATTTCCTGTCGCGGATCTGCATAACAGGCGCGCGAGAGAGCGAGTCTTATCTGCCTAATGGTCATTAGCGGAGCTTATTTACCTGAACGCTCTGGGCGTCACGGGCCTGATGAGAGAGGAGCAGGTCTTGCCGGAGTCTTTGGATGCTCGCGTCCCGACGTGACAACTGCGGTTCGGGTTTCCCATCCCAAACGTGGCGAAGAGGAAGGAACGGAGGGCGTGAGGTGTTTTTGAGAGTAATGAGAGGGAGGTGGAGAGAGAGAGGGAAGGGAAGAGTGAATCACTCCAGGAACATGCACTTACATATAGCCGAGTGCCAATGTCAACCAATGAGCAATTAGGCAGACAAGACCAAAGTTATTGATCGGGGTTTGGGGCTCTTTTTCCCAGGCTAACTAAGCTGAGTATATGTGATGGCTGCAGAAGCGGTGGGGAAAGCGAGAAGGAGGGGGAGAGTTCGGAAGAGCGACTCCCTCTTGCTCTCGCTGGGCCTGTAGTGCCGAAGAGGAGCCGGTCATTTAACCTTCTATTGATCTTCCTCCTAAATAACCCCCCTCCCTTGACAGATGTGCGTGTTCAATGTATGCACTTAATGTAGACTGCTCAACTGTCAATACATTACAGATTCAGATGTGTCTGCAAGACCACTGTGGATAGGCTACCATGTTTTTCCACAAGAGATCAGGGTTCTTGGGAAGATATAGCCCTGTGTGCCAATCACGTATTACCAACCAGATTGCAGATGTTAGCATTGCTTTACGGACTTGTTTACATTTGGTTTGAGGGTAGACACCATATTTCATTTGAGATGAATGAAAACAAGGTTGTGAGGGATCTTTTCAATAGGCTGTAGAGTCTTTAAGGGACAGTTCATCCAGAAATGAAAGTTCTGAAAATCATTTACTCACCTACATGTCATTCCAAATGTCTATGATGTTCTTTCATTTGAACACAAAAGAAAATATTTTGAAGATTGGTTGAAAGCAACTGGGATCCCCATTGACTTTGATTGTATGGACAAAAAACAATGAGATCTAATCTAATATTCATGTCAGTATTTTGTCCACTGGAAATGAATTGGGAAGGCAGATTTAAAATGCTTAATTGGCTAAACGATAAACACGAAGAACAGTATAAGCTATTGAACAAACTGTACATCTATCCCTCACAGACATGTTCTTATCCATGTAAAATCAGGCAAGCCATCTGCCCTCTAGGGTTGTGTGCCATTCAGAATTGAATTGAGAATGCCTATTAAATTCCAATTTAATACATTAACACCCATTGCAGGTGATTGGGCCAGACATCAGAAGAGACAGATCGACTAGTATTAAAACAAATCTCAAAAGGTGGCCACTTGTGATCAGTTTTTGGTAGGGCTGAACGATTAATTGCATTTGCGATAATATCGCGATATGAAAAAACACGATTTTTCAATCGCAGAGACTGCGATTACACTCGGTCACGTGACACGCGAGAGTAAAGAGGTGTGTTCCACTTGAAGATCGATCGGTGTAGCCTTTGACATCAAAGTACAGCGAGAGAAAGCATACGGAGACGTCCGCGCTCTCTTATAGCTCTCGCAGTACTTTGATGACACACACCCATCGGTGTAAGCTAAGCAGCGCTGCTTCAAGTCGAGCGCGGGCCATCAGCAGAAAAAGAAAAGAAATAAAACAGTAAACAGCCAAAGGACGTAATTAGAATGGGAGATGGATCGGTTTGTGAAAGCGAAGAGAAAAGCCATAGATGAAGTCGCACAGACCCAGGCAGGTGCTGGTCATTCAAATGCTAAATGCTGAAAATATGACAAGGCATATATTGATCTCGGCTTCACTCACCGTGTCTATAACGGACGCCACAGTTGTCGCGCCGCGCCGCAACAGTTTTTTTTTTATTAAATAAGATTTTTTTATAGGTTTAAAGGGGGGCTTGACCAAAAAAGTTTGAGAACCACTGTTCTCAAAGTGGTTAACAGTGGTTAAAGTTAACAGAGAGTGTTTAGTGCAGTCCACATGTTTACATATGTTTATTACATTGACTTTGAATTACCTAAAGTAGTGTGGTAAAGCAACAGATTTGTTTTTATATTTCTGCAATCTACTTTAGTTTGTGTGATTTGTTACTGACTTTCATATTAATGTTTACACCAGGCTTATTTGTCAGTGCTTTATGTTGTCATAATTATTACATGCTTACAAGGTTGGAAGTTCAACAAATCAGTCAATATACTACTGTGATTGTAGTTGTTAAATAAAAATGTAGTTCATATCAATTCATGCATCACCTAATTTCATCGTAACATATAGGCCTGGCCTACAGAAAAGGACATTTATGTTTAATCTATCTAATAGTGTGTTGGTCATACTATACAATGATTTATAGCTCATAAAGAGCTTTAAAAAATAATTGCATATTAAATCACAATTGCAATATTGGTAAAAAAAATCGCAATTAGATTATTTTCCAAAATCGTTCAGCCCTAGTTTTTGGGGAGGACTTTAGAGGTCTGTCATACTCACATCTATACTGTTGGTTAATGCTCGGATAGCGTAATTAGTGCACTCCCAATACAAGGACTAAAGAGAGACTATAAAGAGCAATGAGTATCAAAAACTTTAACCGTACCTCAGTCTTCAAAAGCTCTGTTCCTCTGAGGGCAGTGAGATCAGTGGAAGCCTAAAGAGGAAGACATGCATCTGATGAGACTTTGAGCCCAATTTACAGTGTGTACTTAATATACATTCCACAGCAATGCAGGGAAGATGAACCACAGAGTAAGTGAAACCTGTGAGACAGATGCCAGTAAGATGGTAGAATAAGCAACCAGACATATAGAAGGAAAAGACACCTGTAGGAAAGATAAGTTACTAATGGTGTCTCTGTTTTAGCTCAATTGTTTCTCCTAGACAGTCAATAAATGGAGAGTAAATTGAGACTATCATTAAACAATATAGGTCATAAGAAGGTCATTTTGGGTTGTAAAATGTCATGTGGAGCAACTCTCTAAAAACGTAATAATATTTGATAATGAACAATTCTTGACATTTATAAAATAATATATATTTTACCTTGAAAATATGTTTAAAAACTTAAAATTAAAACTAATGTACACTCACATTCAAGATGTGAGAAATATGTCTGTACTTTTTACTTGATGGTTACACCACATGACAGGTTTTTCTTTGAAAATGACAAAGCTTTGTTTCAAAACTATTTCAAACCACTATGAATTTAAAGAGTAGATTTCTACAACTTGTCACATGTGTTTTTAACTAGTTTTCATACATACTAGTTACAGTATATGTCATGGACCCATAGGCAAACAATATATATTGCCAATGTTAACTCATCTTCTCATCAAATCTATTCACGAACAAATGATCTGAGCAGCTAAACACAATTTTACTTTACAGCTCTATTTTCATACTGTTTAACAACAAAATTTGCTTCTTTTTTATTTCATTAAAGAAATTTTAGGCGAAACATTAGAGACAGAGTTGATTATAACAATTTTTTT